GATGTGGCTCAGTGGTTGAGTGTCCCCGAGTTCAATCCTTGGTACCCCCCACAAAAATTTACATTAATCTGTTAAATTTCTTTAACACTATTGAATCATGCCAGGCACCTTGGCGCATAGGAGGATCACGAGTTCAAAGTCAGCCTCAGCAATTTAGTAAGGCTCTAAGCAACTCAGTGAGACCCCTACTCTAAATAAAATATAAAAAGGGCCAGGATGTGATTCAGTAGTTAAGCATCCCTGGATTCAATCCTTGGTATATAAAAAAAAAAGTATTGAATCATTTCTGTGTTTTCTTGAAGCTCTTTTTGTGATGCTGGGGGTTGAATGAACCCAGGGCCTTGTGCATGTGAGGCAAACAGTCTACCAACTGAGCTATATCCCCTGCCTGTTGTCGATTCTTTTTTTTTTTTTTAATTTTTACTTGTAGATGTATATAATACCTTTATTTATTTATTTTTATGTGGTGCTAAAGATCAAACCCAGTGCCTCACATGTCATGCATGAGGCAAGCACTCCACACTTGAGCTACAACTCTAGCCCCTTGTTGAAATTCTTTAAAAGTTATTTTTAATTCTCTGTCCAAGAGTTTGCAAATATCAATTGCTGTAATCCCTTCCTGGTGCCTTATTTTGTTCATCAGGTGCAGTCAGTGTTCTTGAAGTCTGAAGTTCTTGATGATTGTTGACATACAACATTTGGCGCACATTGCCTTGGATATTCCAGTCTTCATAATCTAGCTTTGAGTCTGTCCCTCCAGAATTTCTAAGCATTGTAGTAATCTTTGAACCTGAGGACATTTCCACTACTTCAGCTCTAGATGGTGCCCAGTATCTTAAGTCTGTTGCAAGTCTCTTATTGGTGTTTTTCTATTGTAGCACTGATGGTTGCCCCAAACCCAGTTTGTCCCAAGTCCGTGGTTGGGGAGTATCTATAAAGTGTTCTTTTCCCACAAGCCTCTGCCTGGGCCTGGGATAGGCCCAGACACTTCAATCATATTCACTGGTCTGTTGGAAGACACCACAGGATTCTGTCTGGCTCTGCACCTCACTGAGCAAGTCCCAGGCTTTTAGGGAGTGACTTGGTGCTTTCCTCCTTTTTCTTGTCCCAAACAATTATTCTGTGCATGTGGTCACCAATGCTGCAATGCTAGATCATATTTGGAGCCCATTATCTACTGAAACCAGCACAGTAAGATGTAGGCTGCTATGGGCTTCCTGCTATAGTGAACTTACAGCCCAAGACTGCTGCAGCTAGCCCCAGGTTGATTCTGGATGGTATATAAATCTGATCATCAGTGGCCAAGTGTCTTTATTTGGCAATAGGTCAGGTCCACAGGCTTCATCCACAGGCACTGGCTTGAAGACAGAGACCATTAGGATCTTCCCCAATGTTGGGTTTTACTAGCTCAGCAACTGAGTTCCAAAATACAAAAGTTCTGTGTCATTTTGCTGATCTACTCCGTAGTGGCTGGCCTCTTGTTCCTTGCTGTGTGCCCAAAGTTGGGAGGGGTGGCAGAGGCAGCCCTATGGCCATCTGAATGACACTAAGCCACATAAGACCCAAGTTGCACAGCCACAGGGATTTACACAGGCTTAAGTTTGGGTGCCAGTCCCATGTGTGATTGCCAGTGACGTGGGGTAAAAGATAAATATGTCTGTCCTACCAGAGTCAGGTCTCTGCCTGATGCAGGTGTAGGACTAGAGACTCGTCTGTGAGCATTAGCCTAAAGACGAGCCTCACATTGAGGCAAAGTCCTATGCTCACTTTCCTGCCCTGTGCCCTAGTAGCTGGAGCTTTGCTTCTTGCTCTTATGTCTGAGGGTGGCAAAGAGTTGACGGAGGCAGTCCTTTTGGACATCTGACTAAGGAGGATCCAAAGGATAGTCTGCAGATACTGGTCTTAGGGCAGGAACTCTGGGATCCTGTCTGGTACAGCAGACCTGGTAATCAGAGGCCTGCACTTAAATTTTCTCTTTCTCTCCCAAGCTGGGGGCATCTCCCCTGTGTGTGCTTACTAGAGTTGGGACAGGGATGACATCAGAAACTCTTTCCTGCCCTTTTCTTATTGTCATAATACAACCAGGCATTGTAGTTTCCCATCTGGCTCTTTCTTAGCTCTTGTGACGGTGATTATTCATAAACAGTCATTCAAGTTGAGCAGACAGCCACCATCTTGTTCCCAATCCATTTCCTTTATTTCTTTAATCATGGATTCCTTTATTTCTCTGCATATAAGTGTGACTCTGAAGTCTTTGTCTTTAAATCTAACACCTAGTCAGTCTCACCTGCAGCTTCTGTGGCCTGCCTTCTTGCTGATTTAGGCATCATACTTTCCAATTTCTGTACATGACTCACATCTTTTTGTTGGAAAACAGACATTTTAAATAATACATTTAAGTAACTTTGGGTATTGGTACTCCCCCTCTGAAACCTATTTGCTTGTTCATTTGCCAAGAGGTTGAATTCTTTTATTGGAATCTATTCTTCATCTTCCTCCTTCCCCACTCCCAGTAGTGGGACACATTATAAGGTTTAGGTTGGGCCCTGTGATGACAGTTTCAGTAGAGTTCTCTGACAGTCTCTCTCTGACTATACCCAGCTGTCATTTACAGCTGATTGCTCTATTAATTTAAAAAATACCCTTGAGCATAAATTGTTCCACAGATTAAAACAATCAAATATGGACTTGTTCTCAAGGTCAATGTTTGAAATTTGTTCTAATGTTAGCTGGCTTTTTCAGGCAAACTAATTGGCCTATAGTTTAGCCTGAATGTCCAATGCAACCACCAGTCTTTTAGTTGCTTTTCACAGCCTTCATTATCTACAGCATTCTTTGGCTTGAACATTTCCATACTTTGTTGAGAATAAAGTTAGTTCTTTTGTGAAGAGGTTAGGAGCTGTCTTTTTTGTGGTCTGCTTCTCTCTCCTAAAGAAAATCTCTGAGTGAGGGACTGAGCTAGGAGTGGGGACAATGGCATGCTTCTCTGTGATAAACCTGCTGTACAAGTTGAATGCTAGATGAAGAGAGATGACAGGAGTCTGAGGTCTTTTTGGCTTCATGAAACTACAACTTTATACACAGGACCAAGTGCTCAGGGCCCTAGCATCCTTAGCTTGCCATGCCTAACTCCAGAGTCTCCATCTGACATGTGGGTCTGGGTGGGAGATGGGAGTCTCCACTCTTGACTACAGTCATGGGACAGGTTTCACAACAGGCAACTGGGAACAACCTGTGAAAAGGGGCATCTTACCCCTCCTGGAAGGTATCCTTTAACTGAGCACTGAGGGAGAGGGAACCCTGTGTTTTGGGCTATACCAAACTGGAGTGGAATTTCCATCTGGCCAAGTTGGGAGGGATAGGAAGGAAATGGTTCTCAGTTCAAACACCAGAGTCTCCCTGTTCCTCTTGAATTCTAGTACACTAGAACATTGACTAAAACATTGAGTCAAATGTTTTCATATTTTTTATGTCCTTGGAACAATTTCCAGAGACTTTAAATGCTTAAAAAACAAACAATCAGGGCTGGGGATGTGGCTCAAGTGGTAGCGCACTTGCCTGGCATGCGTGTGGCCCGGGTTCGATCCTTAGCACCACATACAAAACAAAGATGTTGTGTCTGCCGAAAACTAAAAAATATTAAAAAAAATTCTCTCTCACTCTCTCTTTAAAACAAACAAACAAACAAACAAACAAACAAACAAACACCCCGTAAGCATGGTGATGCATGCCTGTAAACTTAGTAACTTAGGAGGCTGAGGTGGGAGGATCATGAGTTTGAGGTCAGCCTCAGCAATTTAGCAAGGCACTAAGCAACTTAGTGAGACACTGTCTCAAAAGATTAGAGAATTAAATTAAAAAAAAAAAAACAAACAACTTTCACCAGTTACACTGAGGTGTGTGTAGGCTGGTTGAGCTTCTTATTCTGTCATGATGGAAACCCCTTTGCTTTCATTTTTATTGGTAAGCATTTAAGGGCTACTTTTCCTCTGTTCATTGCTCTTTATGTGTCTCATGGATTATGATAGGAAATACTTTTTCATTGTATTTCAGAAAGTCTGTTCCCCTTTCAACCAAGAGTGTTTCATAGATTTTTAGTTTTATAGCCCTTTTTTAGTTTCATTTTTAAAATTATTTCATTTTATTACACTATAATCAAAGCCTGTTTATAATATCTCTACTTTAAGAACTGATTTTTTAAGTTGATCATTTTTTGTGATTTTTTTTTGGGGGGGGTACTGGGAATTGAACCCAGGGGCCATATCCCTAGCCCTTTTTTGTATTTTATTTAGAGACAGGGTCTTTCCAGGTTGCTTAGGGTCCCTGCAAAGTAGGGCTACCTTTGAACTCTTTTTTTTTAAGTTGTAGATGGACAGCATGCCTTTATTTTGTTTATTTTTATGTGTTGCTGAGGATTGAACCCAGAGTCTCACAAGTGCAAGGCAAGCGCTCTACCACTGAGCTACAACCCCATCCCCTGGCTTTGAACTCTTGATCTTCCTGCCCCAGCCTCCTGAGCCACTGGAATTACAGGCATGGGGCACCATACCTAGCTTTGTGCATTTTCAATGTGTGCTTGAGAAGGTTTGTTTCTAGTCTCAGGGTTTGTGTACATCCAAAATAACCCCCTTATTGATTATGCTGTCTGGGTCTTCTATATCTTTACTCATCTTTTGTCCTCTTAGCTGTGTTTTACTGAGTGTGGCATATTAAAATCTCCTATTGATTTGTTACTATCTCCTTGTATCTCTTCTCATTATTTTTGTCTATCATTAGGTGATAGCTTATTTTATATGTAGATATTTGTGTTATATCTTCACTGTAAAAATGTAACCTTTTTGATCTAAATCCCACCCCCTAACCGTCCCATAAAATAATGATGAAATTCATTACAAAATTGTTAATAAATTAGGATAAACTTGTTTCATTGTTCTTGTATGTCCTACTGTCATTTCTTTAAACTGGAAAAAAAAAGGCTTTCTGTTTCTATTTTCAACCAGTGGTTGTGAAAGATTTACCTGTTGATTCATTGGAAGGAGAAGATTTTGAGAAGGAATTCTCATTTCTGAACAATCTCCTAAGTCCTGGTTCTTCAAGTACTAGTGAATCCACCCAAGAATGCCAGACTTCCTATGGGAGCCCCAGTGCCGGTCTCATGTCCCAGGAGCCTTCTGTGGGGTCTGAGCCTCTCGCTCATTCCTCTCGATTCCTTCCTTCACAGCTCTTTGATCTTGGCTTTCATGCTGCTGGAGCTTTCAACAGTGAGTATCTATGAAACATTTTGATACATGTGCCTTATTTTATCTTTGTAAAGCAAAATTATGTACTTGATGCTAGAATGAACAAGGAGATGGATTTTAACTTCAGTGCTACTAGATAAAATCTGCAGTCACTCTGGTCAAATGGAAATATGTCAAATAGAGTCACCACTGGAATCCGTCAATAAGACTGAAAAGAAAAGCTGTTTGTTTTTTTTTTTTGCCACCTCCACCAAACCCACATGTCTTCATCAACTTTCCCAGGTATCTGATTTATAATATTTGGCCTGCTAAATTACCCCGGGACTTTTTTTCATCAAGTAAGATTTGGTATGTTTTCTTCCTGTGGGTTCAAAGTTGGCAAGAAATTTTTAAAAAGCTCTGGTGGCTGACTGCAGGGCATCCTTCTGGGCAAGGCAGCAGGGGTGGAGGATGCTGCAGCAGGCTGAGGGTACAGATCTACCTGAAGAAAGGATCATCTGCTTTGTCACAAGGGCTCCTGCTGCTCACCTGTAGCACCACTGTCTGGTGTCCATCTCTGCACCTTGGGAGTCATTTTGCTCCCACATCCTTACTGATTACCAGGTCCTACTCATTTTGTTCTGAAACATTTTTCAAATTTTCCACGCTTCCTCTCTACTCCATGACCAGAGCTATTTAGAGACTCATTTGGTTTCCCAGCTTGCTTCAAGAGAGCCCCTAATAGATCTTCCAGTTCCACTAGTTATTTCCCAAGAAGCAAATTCCAATGTCAGTAGCCTGCTTTAGATTTTCTAAAAATGAAGCACCATTGGCTTGAGGATAAAACCTTTCTGTAATGCATATTCACTTTTTTTTTTTTTGGTACCGAGGATTAACTCAGGCCACATAACCACTGAACCACATCCCTAGCCCTATTTATTTATTTATTTATAGATAGGGTCTTGCTTAATTGATGAGGCTGGCTTTGAACTCGCAATCCTCAGCCTCAGCCTCCCGAACTGCAGGGATTACAGGAGTGAGTCACTGCGTCCGTCTGGCCTAGTTTTTATTTTTGACACAGGGTCTTGCTAAGTTGCTTAGGCTGGCAAAAGCCAGTGTCAGTATCTGGCACATCAGGCCATGGCAGAAGGTGGCATGGTAAGAAGCACTCAAGGCAAAGGGAAGGTGGGGGCCAAACTTACCTGTTTTGTCAGGAGCTTACTCCTGTGACAATTAACCCACTCCCACCATAAGAGCAGAGCCTTGGGATTGGGGTTGTGGCTCAATGATAAAGAGCTTGCCTAGCATGTGCGAGGCACTGGTTCGATCCTCAGCACCACATATAAACAAACAAACAAATAAATAAAATAAAGGTATTGTTTCCTATAGCATAAGAATTAAAATCAAGAATTAATAAATGGGATGAATTCAAACTAAAATGCTTCTCAGCAAAAGAAACCATCAATGAGGTGAATAGAGAGCCTACAGCTTGGGAGCAAATTTTTACCGCTTGCATATCAGATAGAGCACTAGTCTCTAAGGTATATAAAAAACTCAAAAGAGCTAAACACCAAACAACAACAACAACAAAAAAAACAAATAACCCAATCAATAAATGGGCCAAGGAACTGAAAAGACATTTCTCAGAAGGTGATATACAATCAATCAACAAATACATGAAAAAATGTTCAACATCTCTAGCTATTAGAGAAATGCAAATCAAAACTACTCTAAGATTTCATCTTAACTCCAGTCAGAATGGCAGCTATTAAGAATACAAACAACAATAAGTGTTGGTGAGGATGTGGGGAAAAGGTACACTCATACATTGCTAGTGGGATGCAAAATGGTGCAGCCACTATGGAAAGCAGTATGGAGATTCCTTGGAAAACTGGGAATGGAACTACCTTTTGACCCAACTATTCCTCTCCTCAGTCTATACCCAAAGGACTTAAAAACAGCATACTACAGGGACACAGCCACATCAATGTTTATTGTAGCACCATTCACAATAGTTAAACTATGGAACCAACCTTCAGTAGATGAATGGATAAAGAAAAGGTGGTATATATACACAATGGAATATTACTCAGCAATAACAGAATAAAATCATGGCATTTGCAGGTAAATGGATGGAGTTGGAGAAGATAATGCTAAGTGAAGTTAGCCAATCCCAAAAACTAAATGATGAAATGTTTTCTCTGATATAAGGAGGCTGATTCATAGTGGGGTTGGGAGGGAGAACATGGAAAGATTAGATGAACTCTAGATAGGGTAAAGGGGTGGGAGGGGAAGGGAAGGGACATGGGGGTAGAAATTATGGTGGAATGAGATGGACATCATTACCCTAAGTACATGTATGATGATATGAATGGTGTGAATATACTTTGTATACAACCAGAAATATGAAAAATTGTGCTTTATATGTGTAATATGAATTGTAATGCATTCTGTCATATATGACAAATTAGAATTTTAAAAAAAGGGCAGAGTCTTTTCAACCTAGCCATCTTTTAAAGGTCCCACATCCTAATACTATCACCATAGCAATTACATTTCAACATGAGTTTTGGAGGGGACATTCAAATCAAAACATCTTACTCGAGCCTCAGATGATCTCTTTTACACAAGGAAGGACTAGGAAGGATAATCAAAATTCTTTCTAGTGCTGAGTTTCAATTAAAGCATAAATATTTTTCCATGTTGTAGCAAACATTTCCCTGTGCTCTATGGAGTTTCCATAATGATACTTTTAAATTACATAGTGCTTTGTTACTTTATGTACCATAATCTGGATGAATTTTTTCCTTATTGTTTCTATTTGTTCACTATTACAGATAATGCTGTAATAAACATATCCATGCATGCACTTTTCCCCTAGTTTAAAAGGGAAAATTTATCTTATTTCCTTAAGATAAATTTCTAGGAATGGAATTAGTAAATCCAAGGGCATAACTATATTATAGGTTTCAACATTCTAATTCTCAGGCCCTCTCTTCCCAATTGCTTTGAACATCTTTCTGTACCTTCTTCATTTTCATTCCTCCACCCCAAAACCTACATATTTATTTCAAACCACTTTGAAAATATAAGGATGTCTAACATAATTCTCTCTGGGACTAAAGTTGAATGATTGAATAAAATATACAATTGTAGATAAATTTTTAGTTTTTTTTTTAAACTCTTAGACTACAGAATCTTATTCTGGTACAAAGACTGGAAGATTTTTTTTTTTTACCTTTTCTTGTTTTTCTGATATTACTTCCTACTTGGTTAGCAGTGGATAATTCTTACTTCCCTCCCCCTAGGCTGGGTCTCCCAAGAGGGATCAGAACATACTGATAACCTGCCAGTGCCTTCACAGAGTCCAAAGAAATTAATGAGATGTAAGTTCTTTATTTTTCCCCACTGCATTACAGTTGAATTTGGATAAACTTAGAAAGGGTCACTTTTATAGTCTTTGCCTCACATTGTTCAGAAAAATATTTTGTCAATAATGAGTTAATATTAAAATGAAAGCTATCCTTTACATTGAAAGCACAGACTAGAAATTGTGAACTTGTCATAGTATACTAACTTTTGAACTGTAATCTGTTATATTTTGTTTTCAGGTTCCTTGGCAGTTGATATACCATTAGGAATAAAAGATGTGTTTTGTTTTGTGTGTATGGTGCTAGGGACTGAATCCATGGCCTTGTGCATGTGAGGCAAGCACTCTACAAACTGAGCTATATCTCCAGCCCAAAAGATGTATTTTCTGTTTTTGTTTTTGGCTGTGCTGGGTCCTCACACAACTAGAGGAGCACTTGGCTGTGCACTACACCCCCAGCCCAGAAGATACTTTTTGATTATAGGATGCCTACTGACAAAGAATGTATTCAAGCACTTAAGATGACTACCATCTTAATTAGGGGTGTTTGTATTGCCAGGGACTGAACCTAGGGCCTCAGTCATCCAAAGCATGGGTTCTACCATTGTGCTGTACCCATCCCCAACCATTTTTTAAAAATATATGTGTTTTGGGGGGCTTGGGTTGTGGCTCAGCGGTAGAGCACTTGTCTTGGATGCGCGGGACCCTAGGTTCGATCCTCAGCACCACGTAAAAAATAAATTAGTGAAATAAAGGTTTTGTGTCCAACTAAAAAATAAATATTTTTTAAAAATATATGTGTTGGGCTGGGGATGTGGCTCAAGTGGTAGCACGCTCGCCTGGCATGTGTGTGGCCCGGGTTCGATCCTCAGCACCACATACAAAGAAGATGTTGTGTCCACTGAAAACTGAAAAATAAATATTAAAAAATTCTCTCTCTCTCTCTCTCTTAAAAAAATATATGTTTTTTAGTAGTAGTTGGACACAATACCTTTATTTTATTTATTTATTTTTATGTGGTGCTGAGGCTCGCACCGGCACCTAGCACATGCTAGGGGAGCGCTCTACCACTGATCATAAACCCAGCCCCTCCCAACCAGTTTTAACACTAATAGTTCCATAATTTATGTCCACATGAGTATGAATACAAGTCTTCAGAACTTTCTCATCACATTAATCTGAAAGTCTGTACCCACGAAGCAACACTCCCCATTTCCTCTTCCTTGAGCCCCTGGGAACCACCATTCTACTTTCTGTAAGTTTGATCACTTTAGATACTTCATACAAGTGGAATAATACAATCTGCTTTTTGGTGACCAGGTATTTCATTTGGTATAATGCCCTCAAGTTTCATTCATCCTATAGCACATGACAGGCTTGCAAGGCTGAAGAACATTCCATTGAGTGGGTACACCCTATTTGGTAATCTATTCATTTATAGATCGAATTTTCAAGTCTTATTGATATAATTTATTTCCTTCATTGGTTCTCACTACTCTGCTATAAACAAGAGACCTCTCTTCTTTCCCATTTATTATCAGTATAGATTCATGGTTTTTCAAGGTTTCCTAGTCATTATGTAATCATTTTGGTGCTCAAATTGTTCCTCTGTTGTCCTGTGAAAAGAAAGTTACCTTATCCTAGGGGCTGGGGTTGTGACTCAGCGCTTGCCTAGCACATGCGAAGCCCTGGATTCAATCCTCAGCACCACATAAAAATAAATAAATAAAATACAGCCTTCTATACATTATCTTAAAATTAAATGTTTCTAAAATGACTGTAGTAATTATTGCTTGCCATTTTACTCTTCTCAAGTCTTTTCACAGGGCAGTATGCAATTACTCAATTTTAGTAGAATCAGTAAAGCATAAGGTATTTGCATTATCTTTGCTAATTTATCCTAAAGGAAATATAATTGATTATTATGGTCAGTTTAATTTTTTATTTAAAAGAATAATCTACTTCATTATAATTTAAATAATTATAAAGGTGGGACAAAAATATGACTTCAAAAAGTTGAAACTCTTTGATATGTTTCCTTTTTTCTTTTTTAATAGCCCCCAAAAGTGGTAACCAAGACATGTCAGCCTGGTTCAATCTATTTGCAGACTTGGATCCACTTTCAAATCCAGATGCCATTGGACACTCAGATGATGAACTTCTTAATGCTTGACTGAAATTATAATGTCATTTTGGGGGTCTTGCGACATCAATTTTGCAACATATTGCTTTTGTAAAAAGGTTTATATTGCAATCCACACACAAAAGCATGGTGTTGGTGAATATAACACCTATCAGCTGACTCTAGACAGATAGTAAGGTCCACTTTTGAATAGATTAAGTATAGCTATAGTATCTTGGATTTGCAGAGGTTGATACTATGTGGAAAATTTTAGAAACCACTGAGTCTGCAATTTTTAGATACCAAAATCTATGTCAAAAAGACAGGGTAATTCTGCCAAAAAGGACTTAGGATTATTCCTCTTGAAAGTGTTTTTAAATTGCCCTGCTGGCTATGAGAATTCTATATGTGAATAAAGGACAGTATGTAAATTGGGTTGTGGTTTGGGGTTGGTTTTTAAATAAAACAGGGAGGGGATTTCTATTGTGGAAAATAGCACTAGACCAGCTTTGTCTTTGATTAGAAAGGTAGAGTAAGCTTTGAGAACTCAATTTGCTTTAAAGAAATCAGAGAAACCTGTACTTGTTTTTCTCCATTTGGAGGCTAAAATGTAAAGTTACCTTTCATTTATACAAAATCATGGACACCCCTAATTCATTTATTAAATTTTCATGGGGGAAGGAGCAAGATGATTTATTTGTCAAGCTTATCCTCTGTAGAAATGAAAAAAAAATACCTACCCATTTCATAAACCACAAGAATATGCAGCAAGATTCAAGACATTGTACAAATATCTTTAGGCCTGATTTTTCACATTTTGCTATAGAGTAATATGCAGTATTCATTTTCTTCCTGAAAAGAAAACAAGATTCGCTAACAAACTGGCAATGGTATTCCTAAAATTACTTAAAAACTTCAATTTTAAACACCTTATCCTTATACATATTTTGCAATAGTTACCCCATATTTCTTAACACAATTCAACCCAGAATATTTTCTGGCAGAGACACAGAAAACTCTACATGATCAATAGAGGAGTGTCCTATTTTTGCACTGCTCCCTTTCTATGGGAGACATCATCTGAGGCTCTATTTGATTATTAAGCAAAAACTACTACTTAGTTTTAGAACCTAAGTTCTGGAGGTGAAGCTATTTAATGGAAGTTAGAGAAAGCTGATGAAAATATCTACTGTACACACATCGCTCAATTTCCTTTTTTTCCCCCCTGCCCTTTAGTTTGAGGCAATTTTCCAACTGTTTTATTTTTGCCAACCAATGCGTTGCAACACCATAAGAAGACATTTTCATTAAATTGTTCACAGTAGCTTTCATGTGCTTCTCATTCTAAACAGACTTATTTAGAAGAAAGCTACTGGTAATGTCTAAGTCATTGTATATGGTAAACATTTTTAAGGAACGGACTGGAGTAGGTAAAATGCAGCCCACCTCCCATCCACAGCATTCTGGCCTATGTACAAAGTTAAATGCCCAGGAGCTCTCTAGAAAACCTCTACCATGGCCAACAACTGCACAGGCCAGAAAAAGCTTATCCGAGGGCCAGAAACATGGACTCAGGAAAAGAGTATGAAATCTTTCCTAGTATCTTTTCACATTTTTCCTATATTTATCTGTTTTTAATGACTTTATTATCTCTACAGAAACATTTCTTTTAATTCTTCCTTTTTAGTCAGTGAAAATTTTCAGAATGCAGAAGTCATTATTTTGCCAAGATTTAATCACCAAGATAATGATTATGAATCATAGTCTAAATTCTATGCCCACAGTGACTCATGGTGACTAACTTTCAAATTTGACTGCCTCAAAAAATACTAATTTTTATTGTCTTAGGTTTGTGCCATCTTACTCAGCAGTAGTAGCCTAACACATTGGTGTGCAAGTATTAGTAGTACATGTCTCTCACATTCATGGAAAGCAGTCCCCATCACCTGGTATAAACAGATACTTCAATGAGTTGGAAAACCAGTGATCTCTACAAACCAGAAGCTTAAATCCCACACAGTTCATGTGAAGGGATAACCACCTCAATTTTCCAAGAGCAAATGTGACCCCACATTGAAACGTCAAAGGGTTTTTGTTGTTCAGCTGTTTCCTTTTTCAACAGAGCATGTAGTTTGCCATTTAACCCAGAAGCAACACTAACTGCCTCAGCAAATTTAATCTAGAACATTCATTCAAATAAGAATGAATCAATCCTAAACCTAGAGTAGAGCAAGACTAGCTCTTTCAAAAGGGATACCTTTTATATTAAGTGAGGGAAAAACCTATCTTCTGCTTTCTACCAGATGCTAATGCATTGAAGCTTAGAAAAGCCTCCAGCAGAACTAAAATTTAACTCTTTTTTACAGTTTATAGGAGAGGCAGGAATACTAAGGCATAAGATCACATATCATTGGAACTTTGTATTTTTTTAATCTTTCTTTTAATTGCAGAATATAGCTCTAAAAAGATTAGAAACATACTATTTAGACAAAATAGGTTCTAGTATTTGCAAACTGAAAAAGAAGTTTTTGTATTTCAACTATAGGTACTTATTCACATAACTGTCTTTATAGATCATCTAGAAATGTAAACGTCTTAGAGGAATAGAACAAAGGAAATTTAAATGCGCTCTATTTTTCTGAGCCTCTTTTAGTAAAGACTGCAAGGTGGCATAAAACAAAAAAGTTTGTTTCCTGAAATGTTTGATACAATCCAATTTTTGTTTCCCTATTTAAAACATGGGTTTCACCCCATGGTTTCACAAATGAAATTGATAAGAATGAAAACAGAATTCAGAATGACAATTAAACCACAGCAATTCATGACCTTGTTAAGACTGATTTACCTCAAACTGAGGGGGGTTGTCTAAGGTATGGGAAACAAGAGTGTGTGTTCTCTGTATAAATACTTTTAGTAACAAATTCTCAAACTTTTGAGCCTAGAAGTAACCAATGAAATATAAGCCATAGTATTTAACTTAATTTACTGAAGGCAGGAATTTTTAAAAAAGAGGGTGCCAGAACCGATCCAGGTATTTCTGTCATCCATAGTATTGGCAGGGCCCTCTGTCTTTCCTCTGAACAATGAAGCAGCCCATAATCTTGGAACATAGAAATTAGGAAGGAACTAAAACTTTACAATTTTCACTAATTCAGTAGTACTGAAAGCAATACAGTAGTAAGGAATTTAAATAGCAAAGAAAACCTACCAAACAGATTGGGGTGAAAAATTATTAGAATCATATCCAGAAGCCCAACATAAAATACATTCTTCTAGCTTTCACATACCATTTAAAAGAAGACTTAGAGACTTCAATAAAAACTGTCCATGGTATTTGTGTGTGTGTGTAGTGCTGGAATCCAGGGCCTCATGCATGCTAAGCAAGTGCTTTGTTACTGAGCTGCCACACAACCCTGTCCTTGGCATTTCAAGTCAAGACATGGTTCTTTACTCAGTGGTGTAAATAGACCAATTGTTGGCCAAAGAGTGAATGCAAGATGAAATAAAGGTGGGGCTGGTGTTAATGGGTAAGATTTTGAAGTGTACATTTTTGCATTTATATTGTACGCTTTAAAACGTCTTGCTGCCTCAAACTTCCCACAAACAGGCTGTGAGCACCTGGGCCAGGAAAGCAGGTGCACCAGTGTGATACAGGCAGGTCCCCTGTCAGGAGTTTCCTATTCTTCATACCATTATTAGAAACACTTACACACTGAAATCCCCTCATACCTTTTCTGGTGTATTTATTCCTGCTCCCAAGGTACTTGCCCATTCGTCTTGGCCTCTTTGTTTCCACCTGCTTGGTAAAGCACCTCCCCTCCGATGGTGCTGTCTCCCAGGTGACCCGCTTGGTATGCTGTGACTGTCTCTTTCAGACCTGTGAATAAACCTTTTTGTTTTTGTTTTGCTTTCTGTCTCTCCTATCTCCTCTTGTGACTGTACCTTACTACCACCTAAAAAAGTCAAAACAGAAGTTCCTTTCTTCCCATTTCAAAGTAATATACCTACAGCCTTGCTGTGCATAAAGAAAACACTATTAACATCACTATCAATACCATATATTTTATGTTCTGTAGTACATTAAGGCACATTTGTTGCACTGTGATCCAGCCTTTTCATTGTCTTTGCTCCCTAAAATGAACAGACTATGTTGAGATTTAAAATTTACCTTTAAGGCTGGGGGATGTAGTTCAGTGGTAGAGCGCTTGCCTAGTATGTGCAAGGTCCCAGGTTCAATCCCCAGTGCTGGAAAAAAATTTTAAAAATAAAATAAAAATTACCTTCAGGTCTTTCTCAACAAGTCAGGCAAAGGAAAGTACTTACCAAAAATGATTGTAGTTAGTTTCTACCTCTTTAATTTAAATCTCTCCCCAGATTTAAAAAAAATTTAATTTATGCAGTCATAGCAACCTTAAAAACTAGAGAAGCTAAGGATGTAGCTCAGTGGTGGAGCATTTGAGGATTTGTCACTAAATTCCTTAGTCAGGAACTGCCCAACCAGTTCCTTTCTTTGGCCTTTTGAGCAAGGCTGCCAGCACCTATAGCAAAGAGAACCACAAAGGAAAACAAACAGGGCAATGACCTAATGACACAATCTGCAATGATACTAAGACCTATATTTTACCAATGTCACTGGTACAGAATAAAGAGCACAAGGCTTAGTGGTTACGAAGAGTTCTGGAGTCAGACTTCATTCAAAAACAGGCTTTGATATTCTCTAGATGTCTGTTACTTAACCTAATTCCAATTTTGTTGTAAGGCAGTGAAAATAGCAGTCCCTGACTTCATACGTTTATTGTAACAAGTGCTTGCACCTGGCAAGCCATTCGTAAGCATTACCAATCTTTAGTACAATCTGTCAACACTTTGAGTATATTATGCTTTACAAGCTAAAATCCATTTTATGGGACTTTAGATGACCAAAACCCTTTTGTGGAATGAATAAACTTACCTGGCAAAATACAGAGAAAGATAACTAATGTTTGCTTGTAGTTTTTAAAGTTATTTTCATATTTACCACTCAATTTAAGTGAGAGCACTACTGTCGAAAATTTCATCACATAAATATAGGAAAACTAAGGTACAAAGAGAGTTGTTTCTTGCCTTGGTCATTTATCAGTAGAGCCTGGACTGGCACCCAAACTGTGCCTCTAAATCCAGAACCTTCTGTTTCTCATTGAATCATCTGAATGATCTCAAAAATAGCTGCTTAAGACAGGGGATTAAAGTTGGTGCTTACACTACTGTTTTCTAGCATAACAACATCCATAATGCTCTTCTGCAAAATATGATGGTTAAGCAGGACTAATCCATATTGGTGAATTTATGGAGGTAAACTGTTAGTTTGAAGATGTAAAGTACTGAGGCTGGTTGCAGTGGCACACATCTGTAATCCCAGCAGCTTGGGAGGCTAAGCAGGAGGATCCAAAGTTCAAAAGCAGGCTCAGCAACTTCCTGGGGCCCTAAGCAACTTAACAGGACCCATCTCTTTTTAAAAAAGGATTGGGGATTTATAGTTCAGTGGTTAAATGCCTCTGGGTTCAATCTCTGATACCATTAAAAAAACAAAACAAAACCTGAAAGACAAGTATTCTATGTGTGTTTTAGTAAGACCAGCAGTTTTGGAAATACTAATAAAAGGAAGTGGAGACAATGTCTTGAAGACTCCAAGTTTCTTCTCTGCATTATGATACTAGACCATCACAGAAGTTCTATCTAGAGCAATATTTTTCCTATCATTTTAATTATAATCCTAAGTAACACACACTTTTTACATTACAATCTGGTACATGTGTAAGGATCTCTTTTAAGTTTTACACACACACACACACACACACACACACACACACACACAAATACTCTCCTTGTATATGAATGTATTGTTTTCTATCCTGCTTCCTTTTTTAAAAAGTTGATTGGACCCATTTAATTCATTTCACTTTGAAAAACACTGAACCATAGAGATGCAAAGTTTACTTACTGGTATAATCATACCATGTCCTACTATAAATTTTCAGAAATATTTAAAAAGCATACCTAATCTTAACAAGGGAAAAAACTCTTGATATTTGATACTTCAGCAGGAAAACGCTATGAAGAGAATATCAAAAGTATTTCACATATTTGCTTCTCTCAACCTCTTCAAAAGAAGTGAAGAAGATCAAAGGAAAGAAACAGTGTGCCAATTTGATTCTCCTTGCATTTGGTACTAATAAATTATATACATTAGTTATCTCCAAATTCTGGTTAACTTTTCCTTTAGAAATTATGTGGGTGTGTGAGTATGTACGTACGTATGTACGTGTGTGTGTGTGTGTGTGTGTGTGTCTAATTTATTTTGGAAGTATTGAGGATTGAACCCAAGACCTCTCACATGCCAGGCAAGTACTCTACCACCGAGCTACATCCCCAGCCTAGAAACAGTTATTAAAAATTTATAATGCAGCGGTTTAATGACCAAATTACTTTCAGGTAAAACATACCTGGGCTTTCTAAGTGATTACAGGTTGCTGTTAATTGGGTTCATCTAACCAGCTCTCCTCACCCCAGACAACTGTCTTGTATATATAAACCACTGAAACAGAGGAAGAGTATGATTTAATAAAAAAATTTTGAAAAAACCTCTTTATATACTTTAAAATGAAACTGACTACTCAGCTAAATCATCTCTAATAAACTATGAAGTACTGAATTACTTGTAAACAAATATATCTGTTGGTGTGCTTACATTTTGATGTTTGCTTAGCACCTCCCACAATGATCAGATACCTTTGGTTCTAGAGCAAGTAAGGGTAACCAGGGAACCTGCTGCTTAACACATTTTTGTATCAATTTCTGAAAAACAACATACATACTGTTTATGATATCAGACTAGAAATGTCTGAAAAGAAATCTAATTTGAGACACTATTCATAAAAATACAAAGAAAAAAAACTCTCAAGAACAGACTTTATTTTTTAACATAAAAGTTCTATTTTCTTGTGAGGCAGCAACAAGTGTTCAGGTACAGGGAATACATAAGTACATAGTAACAATATCTATTACCATTGGAAATGCTCTTTTTGGGAGAATTTTGTTAGAAAACAAAATTTTTAAAAATTGCATTTAAAAAGATTTACACAGCGTCAACAGATGAAAGATGCAGAGCTTATAAAACATAAATTATATTCTTCAACAGGACTGTATAAACAAAATATTGTTCAGGGCTACTCTGCTTATCACTCATTTAGGCAGAGCAAAACGTAAACCTTAAAGTGCAGAGTTAAGTATTATTAGCTTTATTTTTGCAAATTCAGCATTCTACTGGTCCAGTTTTGAAACACTAAAAATACAAGCATTAAGGAATGAATGTGAAGATTAGAAAAGCAAAGTATATTTAGTAATGGCAATTTTTCTTTTATTTTCCTTAAAATAAAATCCTGACAACTTAGTCATTATCTTGCACATAGAGAAGGCTATAAATTCTGCCATTTTTAAAATACTTTCTTGAAGTGAAAAACCACTATTCAAAAAAAAAAATGCCTTTCGTGTTGCCAGATATTCCAAAGTGAGCAATAGCACCTTCTAAAAGGCTGATTTGGCCTGTGGTTCCAAGTATATGAAACATTTTAAGCAAAATGAAGAAATTGGTTAAAAAATAATCTTGGCATCCATATTTAACCAGAGAGGCAAAACTGGTATTTTTAAAACATAATTGCTCACAAAAGCCATGATAAGTAATAGACTTAGTCATGATCAGAAACAGTAAATATATGTTTTATCATCACAAGAAAGAAATTAAGAGTAAAAATATAATTAAGACCTACAAAGTGAATAACTAGATAATAGTTCCTTTTGCTGATAGACACATGCCACCCAGTTTTCTTTTTCTGCAGTGAAAGTGAATTTAATTTGAAAAAAATTATATACCCACTGAAGGTATTCTATTTACTTTCTGCTCAGTTTTTCTAAAAAATACAATAATCATGAATTGTAATTTTAGGATAAAATGTTGTGCATTCTTTGAGATAAGACCCATTTTAAAGAAATGAACCACTAGTAACTAAGGGTTAAATAAAACAGCCAGATGGACCTACGGTTAATATTTTTGAAGAATGTGATAAAGCTTATATGCTTAAAAATTAGCCCTTTGGCACTGGCAGAGTTGTTTTGTACCTTGGAAGTTCTCCCACCAAATCTCAGCTGCATTATGCCCAAACCAGGGACTGTGTCTGGTTGTCATACAATTAATTTACCTGTAAATCTCACATTTTCTTTACAACCAAACATTAGACTAGAAGTTCTATTAACAAGACGGTTAATAGTAAATCTGACAACTCTTCTCCTCTGATTTTAATTACTTCAGATTAAGGATATTTGAAACTCTACAGAAAGATGTGAATTTGACAAATATAAAAAAGATATACTGTTAACAAAGTGACATTCTGTTGTAAAACACCCTTGGAGATAGAAGAGGAAAGAAGTAAGCGTAAGGTGGAGGAAAGAACACATATTTAACAATACTCAGGTTAAAAACAAACAACAACAAAACCTGGTGGTTTAAAAAAAAAAATCAAACAAAACCTTATTTTTAACTACCTCCTTCCTGATTTATATCAACTCACCTGATTTCAGTTTCCAATAGAGCAGATACTCACTGGTGAAAGAGCAAAGTCAAAAGGCATAAGAAAGAAGGCAAACAATCAAGGTACTCAAAAAAAACAACAACCAACCAACTAGAAAATTTAAGACCCCCAATAACTGAGCTTTTACTGAGTTAAAAGCCACAATTTACTAGTTCCTAGAAAATTAAGTTTTAGATGGAAAAAGTACCCAAATTCATCAGTCCTATCAACTAAAACCTGACAGATTCATCTCAAACATTTGCAATTATCTGATTTACCTAAATACATTTTAAACTTAATAGGGCATATTTTAAATTGCTAAGATGTGTAAAGGTAGACAAATAAAAGTCCTTTCAGAAGATTTATTGCTACCACTAGGTTTTCCTTGATGGAATTTGTCTGGACAAGCCGACATATTACCTTTGACACAGTAACCCTTTAATAGGACTTAAATTTTTTCTGCATATGGTTTGTATAGGAACAGTAACTTATTGCATCATAACATACTAAATGAAGGTATTTAAAGGATGCTTTTTAATTGACACTGTTTTGCTGAAATTCACTTCTCAAACAGAGCTGCTCCTTAATTTTACTACCACATACGCAGAAATGAAATACTGTTGTCTTGTGATATTGGCAGTAGGTTTGTCTAAGGATGAGCCCAAATCCAAAACAGCATGGATTTTTCAAGGTGAGTGTTGTTTATGCTCCAAAGCTCTTCTCTGTTTTCTCCACTGTGTGGAGTATTTGAGAGGAAACTAGCAAAATCTGTAGGCAATAAATCTCAGTGCCAACCACCATAAAGAAAAAGTCAGTCTCAAGGTTCTGTGGCTAAGGATCACTATTCAATGGATTACACTCCTGGCAAACTACTGACCCTGACCAAATCCACAAGACAACAACATCACAAAAGCAAAGGAGGAAATCCATGCACAGCCATTTTAGGGTCTCTTGGGACTATGATACAGTGATGACTAAAGGCAGAATGACACCTGTGGCAAAGGAGGGCAATAGCGCAATACACACTTCACAGAAAACCAAAGGGCTCCTTAATCCTATTTAGCAATCAACACTGGGTAGTTTTCCTTTTGGCTCACGACTCTTAAACCAAGTTCCAACATGGGTGAGAACATATTAAAGCATTTATCTTCAGACTATAACTTTTCTGACCACATGGTGAAATGTGTACAGTAAGTGAAGAAAACAGCAGTTTTACAAATATTTCACCCAAAGCACAAACTTTAGACATCAAAAAACATAAATCACATAATGTAGGAATATTGCTTTGTATCTCTTTTTATATATACTTGCTCAATGCATTTACTTATTATCAATTCTTATTTGGGAGAAGAACATAGTCATGAGATTAAGACTGCTGGGAAAATGTCAACAATCCCTTTGGTCCCAAAGCTGAAAACAACTGAGAAAAGTACACATCTAGAAAGGGAAACAAGAAACAGAGGCCACCAAAGAATCTTTTGAACATCCTGTTTGCTACGTTTCAGAAATATAACATTGGCATTATAAAAGAGTCATTTTCATATAAAAGATGGTTCTTGCAGCATCATTCATGTCTTGATTCAGGAATCATGTTTTCAGGGATCAGATTTTGTGTGTGTGTGTGTTGTTTTTTAAGTCTAATTTGAAAACAAAAACAATGTGATATTGTCCTTCCAAATGAGACCTTTCTTATTTCATTCAGTGCTTTAAGAAAAAGCAGGCTAAGCACTGAGGGCTGGCCTTCTTGAGTGGGGCGGAGCAGTCAGAGGGGCTGCTCTCTTCCAGAAGCCTCACTATCACTGGAAAGCTGGAGCATGTCACAGCCAACTGGGAGCCCACGCTGCCATCATAGTCAAGCGATCTGAGGAGGTTCTCCATTTTCCAGAACCATGGCCATGAAGTATTGGGGCCTATCCTTCGGCTTCCTCGATTGGTTCTGGAGGTGGGAGAAGGGAGGCTGATGGCAAGACCGTACTGGTTCCTCGGGAGACTCGGTCTTGCTCTGCATTTGTAGACAGGGAGGCCACAGCAATGGGCTGAAGCAGAGTGGTTGTCATGCCAGTGGTGACTGTCAGGCTGTGGCCAGAGCCCTTGAGGGTAAGATCTGGTGTGGGAAGGAGTGGCTTGAGGATGCTGACGAGGCAGAAAGCAGAACCGCTTTTAGGAATGAAATTCACCTTGTTTTTGTCAGGACAGTAGAAGGCTGGAATTTCATGAAGTTGTTTTGGTCTAGACACAGAACAGACAACCCAATATATTAAGTCACTTAACACTGGAAAAAACCTCTTTAATTTTTTTAAAAACAGGTAACTCATAGATACATAAAGGGAACACAAAACTGAAGCTATGTGAAAAGCTTCAAATGTCAAGGACCCAAGTGTTTTTAGGCATAATTCAAAATATGCATCTTAGATCCCAGAAGAGCACCATTCATCACTCATGTTCAGTTCCTTGACAGCCCTATTACCATGTGGGGGGCTCAGGCTGAGGACCAGCTGCATGTCAAGGAAGACCTGAGATAACCAAGAGGAATAATTTCCTAAAGCTAAAGAAAAGCCAGATATTTAATGATAAAAATGTGTTCCATTACCATGATTTTTCCAAAGTCTGCACTATTCTGAAAGGAGAACACAAGGAAATTAATGATACACAATATCTACCTTCTACTAAGTTCCCCCACTGAAGGATTAAACTTTGACAGGCATGTGTTTTCTCTTCAAGTGCTCTTAAAAGAATCTCTCAAGTAATTCACTGAGTTGACTACGATGGTTTCCATGATTTACACAATGTAAATGCAAAATCAAAATAATAGTCCTTGGCTTTCGAAGTTTTCACTGAAGCAGAATTCTTCGCTGTCCCCAGATAATCTTGAAAATTATCCCAAATTGTTGAAAAGTAGATTTCTGGTATTAATGGTATTCCATAAAAATTAAAAATACTTAAAAAATTAATTTTTTTAACACAACATGGAAGTAACACAAAATTAAAGTGAAATCAAGAATGGAATAACCTGAATAAATGAACACTTAGGTTGAAACAGGACTCATCTATGTTTTCAAGCTATAAACTGGAAGGGAAAGAGAAGTGTGCGCCCTGACTCATGGAGACCCCATAAGCACACATAATTCTAACAAAACAGCCAGCAAAGGGGATATACTTTCTCTGGCTCCAGGCCCCATTTTGGTAGCTTAGGTTCCTGGAGCCCTCATTTTATCATGTTGCACTCCCCAGTTGCCTTTCCTGAAAGGTTCTTGTTTGACACTACTCTGGGCTCTCTTAAGCATCCAGACTGATGTGCTGCCCTTCCCATAGATTGAGGGAGGGGGTGGGGACAGAGAAAAGGGGAGAAGCCATGGAAAGAGAACCTGCAGTCAGTACCAAGGATTTTGGGATTAAGTTCTTTATTTACTAAGAAAGGAACTGGGAGCACAAAGGGTAGGGGCAAGGAATTTGGGGGAATTGGCTGAAGGGTGGTGAAGTTCAGTGTTGCTCTTGATTTTAATCCCCAACTCACTCATCACTTTATTCCTAATAAAAAAGCTGAAGAGACAGTAAATTTAAAAGAGAAAATCAGAGCTGGTTTTAAAGTTTTATTTTTTCTTAAGCAGTTATTCCAACACAGATATAACTAAAAGATACCTCTATACTGCAAAGAGCCCATAATTATCTATGAGTCTGAGGTCAAGGATTTAGCTGGGATCAAGCAAGAGAATATTTAACTTGATTAAAAAGAACTGAGTACATTTGGCAAGGCTCTCATATGTGCAGTTATCAAAAAGAGTATGTAGAGACAGAACAAAATGTGGTCTTGCCTTTTTGCGCCCAAATCTAACTACCTATTTTCTTTCAGGTAAACAGATTTTCTCTAGAAACCAAAGATAACCTCTTCCCAATCCCAAACTGCTGCACTTCAGGTCAGAGTTACTACTTTAAATCAAAAGTAAGACTTACAGAAAAGAGTATTCTTGAAACAATTATTAAACAAGCTAAACTTTTAAATTAGAAGCAATAATCTACTACCTTAGTTTAATGTTTGTGAGTCCACTGAGTTTTGTTCTAATTTTGACATAGCTATGACAAGAAGAGACTAATGTTTTTAAACTCTTGAGTAACTTTTTTTTATTGATAGAAGGTTAAAATCACCTCTAAAAAAAATCTGCCCTTAGGTTAATACTACTAATTAGTCCTTGGAGCATAATTAAAATATTAATAGTTTTTTGTGTGCTACACATTCTTTATCTTTATGTTCATCTCTACCAGTAAAATAGTAAACATTATATTGAAAAAAAGAGTAGGTTTGCCTTCTAATAATAGATCCATATGCCATAAAACATGTAATATCTTAGGGTTTACCTTGTTTTATTCTATCTGTGTATCCATCCACACAAACACACTTCTGTTTTTTTCCCTCTCCCATGAGATACAAAGTATGGGAGAGATACAAATAGTTCAATAAGTCCTCATGTAATAGTGTTAAGGCAGATAACATATGACACATATAACAAATACTCAAAGTCATTTCCTCCCTTCCTTCCTTTCTTTCTTCCTTCCTCCCTCCCTCCCTCCCTCCTTCCTTCCTTCTTGGCTAGGCAAATGTTCTATCACTGAGCTACACCCCCTAGTCCTAGAACAATCCCACTTCCTAAGAACTCTCATGAAAAGGTCTAAGCCACCATTTTCAAATTGAGCATAAAGTCATCTGAGATGCTTAAAGATGCAGAACTCAGGCTTTACTGCCATAAATATGATTTATTAGGCCTGGTTGAGGCCTGTGAATCTGCCATTTCAACAAATTCCCCAGGAGATTGTGATGCAGGGATGCACCACAGAGTAAATCTGCAAAAATACTTAAACTCTGCTGGCATCAGTTAAAACTTATAGACTGACATAGTGTGGGGGTAGGGGGGGACTAAAATAAGCAGTTGCTAACACAAGATTTTTCAATTACTGTCACAGAAGCAGATAAGAGACTGACAGCTGGTGTTTACTGGTAGAGGAGCTGATGGGATTCAAAGACAGTACTCTTTGTGTGACGAGATTAGTCAGAATTTGTGTTAAAAGAAGCACAGTACATAAGAGAAACAAAAGGATGCCCAAGATGTTGATGAGAGAAAAAATTCAACCTGGGCGAACTGGAGGACTACCTCCATATTGTACTTTTAGTTTTCACAGTAAGAAAAAGCAAAAATGATAGCTCTTAGAAACAGTGAGTTGGAGAGTAAGGGGTAAGAACTGTCATCTTATCCCCAAACAATATTCATCTTTAATGTGCTTATCTCACACACCCATCACTATTACTTGGAAAGCAAGAAGCCTCAGTTATTTAAAACACAAGGCTGTATCTTTCTGGGTGAAATATAGGTTTAAGATGGAAGTACTTAACTGGAGTACCAGTCAACACAAATATTTAAGATAAAATATGAAGGGTATTAGATGCTGCTAGTTAAAAACTCTGTTTCTGGGGCTGGGAGTTGTTCAGTAGTGTATTTGCTATGTACAGATTTAGTGTGTACTTAATATGCATGAGACACCAAGTTTGATTTCCACATTTCCAAAAAACAAAAACTAAAAAAACCCTGCCTCTTACCTCATCTTCATCATAGTAACATAATTAATTCTATAAAGTAAAAGAATTATTTCCTATATTGGCAAAGTATTTAAAAATTGTTTACAGTGTTTACAGAACTGGAGACCCAAAGTGAGCAAAAACTGAAGTGGATTTAATCCTAGAAATAAGGGACTTGCACTAGGTGAAATCTCCATGGTCTCTCTTGACTAAACATGTGGCTAAATTCAATGTGTGAACTTGACTGGATACAAGTGCAAAAATGACAGCCACAGAAAATATTCTGGGACAACTGAGGAGATCTGAATACTAACTGGATGTTAGAAGGTATTAAGAACTACTGTTAATTTTTTTCAGTATGACAATAGTATTGAGGTTAAGTTGGAGTACTGTGTTTTTTTTTAGTAAAGACTGTAAAATGTTAATCACATAATCTGGGTGGAAGATATGTGGGTGATCACTACACTGTTCTTTCAACTTATTTGAACATTCTCATAATAAAATTTTTTTAAGGGGATACTTACGAGCATTCTTCAAAGACTTTGACCCTTTCACAACCCTCAGGAGGTTCCCTTTTGAACATGTAACTATTGTTAGGTTTTGGTGAGGTTGCGTATTTGGGCAAAGGAGAGTTGTTCCCATTCTCTGCAAGAAATGACACAATGAATTACTAAGAAATACAACAAAAATATACTATCATGCTATACTTAATTATTCTTGGCTTCCCCTACCCATGTATTATTTGAGGGCAGGAACAGTGCTTTATTCATCAATGTCACCCCAATATCTAACACAACCCCTATTAAAAGGGATGTGTAATTAATGTTTATTAAATAAATATATAAACAAATACAGCATTTTTACTTCTTTTCCATTTATAATTATAGCCTAGGCCTGAATCACTTAATCCTTGGTATTGAACACTAATCTAGCTGGCTGCCTTATTCCGGTTCTATTCACAGAAATACACTCAAATACTACTTCCATCTTTTCCCAGCATGAGTATCTGGAATGGTTCTTCAATGGTTGCTTACCATCAATAACTCTTGGCTTGCCCTCAGTCTCTCAACTTGATCTCTCTGCTCCTCTTGTCACAGTCTTTGCTCCAAGTAGTCAGAGCCAATATATACCAAACATTTCCTTTGCTATAAGCTTCCCTTCACCTAAAAGGGCAAGTCTATTCATTTTTCCAAAATTTCCTTCAAAGTCTGCCACAAATATTTTGAAATTTTCTCAAATTACTCTGATATTCATTATTCTGATATTCCTGTTCAATGCTATTATCCTCAGCTTATATTATATTAAAACTTAGAATTCCTGATATGTTACATAATGGTCCTAAATTTTTAATCTGTGTTAGTTAACTACAAATTCCTTGCTGACAGTAGCACTGTGACCCTTTTTTCTTATAAAATAAATTCAAAAAAGCCAACCATTCATTAGTCTCCTAAAATTCCAAACAAATCAGAACACATAATTTATGGAATTCCTACATGCAAAAGCAGAAAGTATAAAAAACCAAGGGACACATTTTAATAGCCATGTTCTATTTGACCTAGAAGATAACCAAAAAAGTTTCAAATAATATTCCAGAGTTTGAAGCGACTTTAGCAAATCTTCCAACTTCTGTACTTACTGTATTTTCAATGATTTAGGCAATTAGTAGTAATGACTAGTCTAGTCATAACAATGAGGCATTTTAGGACATTCAACATACTGGTAATGTAGAGAGTTCTAAATAAGTAACTACTGAACTGAACAACAGAATTTACAAATAAATGTTATATTATTGCTTTCAAGTGCATATAGTAACTAGAATTGGGTTAACAAAATATTGCCCTGATAGAGATAGATAAAATTATCATATCTGTTTTAGAAGGTAGGACATTTGTACTTAATATTCAAACTGTTTCTGTCTCCATGTTATTTTTATGGTATAAAGTATCCTCCAACTTTTCACATCAGATTTCCTTTAAACACTCATCTTTCTTTTGTTAAAAAATCACTGTAATACTTATTAGAAATATCAAAAATACAGATCCTAAAAATCACTAACTTGAAGGCTTCATATTTACTTAACAAGTATCAAAAATAACACCATGAAGAATAAGGTGACAGAGAACAAAATGCTCTATAGAACAAATGTTCATTTACTCAGTAACAAGGAAGTTGTAATTAACAAGTGCAAAAAAAAATTAAAAAGTATAAATAAAACCCCATAAACCCAGTCAACCTGACCATCACCTAAGCACCACAGCAAACTCATAGAAAATGAACAGAGTGAAAGCCTGCATAGGTGATATGCAGCCATCATCCAGTGACAAATTCTACCAGTATTATACCTTTATCTCTGGGATCGACAAGCAGGTCATCAGCTGAACAAGGACTCTCCTCGCTGCCTTCGTTAGAGATAGTAAGGAATGAGGTGGGGGACACAGACTGAGAACGGCTGCTGTTGTTGCTTCCCCTGTCTGCCCCACCAGGGGTCTGTGTGTCGATGCTACGTGTGCTGCTACTTCTCTGTGCCAGGGGGGGAGGTGCCCGATGTCCATCTGGAATATCTTGTGGCTATTATAAAAATTTAAAAATATACATATATTTACCAATGATTTTGAAATTCATCAGCTATGTACCAAAGGTCAACCTTTCCTGTAGTGCCAGAAACTCACAAATCAAATTCTCTCCTATTATTGTATCTTTGTGCTGCTCATTAGTGAAATCAAGACTAATCAGACTCCACCTACTGATCATTCTGGGTGAAAAAATTATCTTCCCAGATTCTGGCACACAGTAGGAAGACAATGCTTGGTGTATATATAAATTGCACTGAATTATTTACCTAGTACTAAATGTTATTATTTCTTGTGGTACTGAGGATCAAACCCAGGGCCTTGCACATGCCAGGCAACAGCTCCACCACTGAGCTATACCCCCAACCCTAAGCGTATGTATGGACAGATGGATAGATGCCTGTGTGTATGTGTTTATTTTGGAGAATGAACCCAAGGATTCATATATGCTAGTGAGCCCTCTACCACTGAGCTACATCCCAAACTCCCTTATTATTATTTTAAAATTATAAAGAATAATCATAGTAAAAAGAGGAGAAATCCAGCTGTACATTTGGTTCCCTAAAAAAGAGGAAAAGGTTATCCACAGTGTGAACTAGTGATGATGACAGGCCCTTTGACCTCCTTTTTCCTCCTGCACACATCGGGTAAAGAGTTTTTCTGGGGTTTTTTGGATACCAGGGATTGAATCCAGAGGCATTTAACCACTGAGCCACATTCCCATCCCCAGGCCTTTTTATACGTTCTTTTAAAAATTTTATACAAGGTTCTCACTAAGTTGCAGGGGCTGCCTTTGAACTTGAGATCCTCCTGCCTCTGCCTTCCCAGCCACTAGATGTAAACCACCACACCTGGCTTGTTTTTTTAAATCCTCCTCATTGAGGGAAAGGTTAATCAAAGCAGTGCAAATTATAGGGAATTGACATCAAGGAAACACTCAGAAGAAAGTTTGTGTGGCTCACTTAGCAGGAAAACCAATTCCCTGTATATCTTTGATTAATTTACTTTTATTACATCAGGGAAAGTGTAACCGCTCACACAGAATAGAAGAGAGTTTGTGGTGAGTTGTGTTTTCTCTAAGAAGCTAAACTAATAGTTTTTTTCTCAAGAGGATCTTAAACATCAAAAACCTATTACTTCGGACTCCCTAATAATTCCCTCACTGAATAATAGAGGCTTAGATAAGTATTTAAAGTCTAAATAGTAAATTTTCACATGGTGTTTTATACATGAACCCCTTTTCTGTGCATTCTAGTAAAAAGGGTAAGCTAATTTCTACTGGTGTTTCATGAAGGTAAACCCAGGCATGTCAACCAAAAACAAACAGCAACTGACAAGAAGGAACTGGTATTTTCATGCTTATACAGTATTCACTGTCCTATAACCTTCCTTCTAAACTAGTAAGCTAAATCTTTGTTTAATGATAAACACATTGCTTCTCTTGTGATTTTTAAATACAGATGAATAAAAAGCAGTTCTGTTTAAGGATCCTAATTTAAATCAGATCAGTTGCCTCTATAAGATGCAAAGAAATGAAAAATTTCCAAATGCTTGTTAAGGTCAGAGTTTTTCATATGTAATAATTTTTCAATTTCTTTGAATGAAAAGCAAGAAACCTAAGTAAATATGAAAAACAAAATTGTGAATTTTTTAATAACTAGAAGAGTTCATGTGTAAGGGTGATTTTAAGATACAAGATTACTGGGGCTGGGGATGTGGCTCAAGCAGTAGCGTGCTCGCCTGGTGTGCGTGCGGCCCAGGTTCGATCCTCAGCACCACATTCAAACAAAGATGTTGTGTCCACCGATAACTGAAAAATAAATATTGAAATTCTCTCTCTCTCCTCTCTCTCTCCCTCTCTCTTTAAAAAAAAAAAAGATACAAGATTACTTACTATAAGTTGCTCTTCCTTTTCCCCAGTCTCTTTAATTATTATTTCAATCTCCTGATTCAATCCTTCCACACTATTCCGGAACCGGGAACCTGTTGATTTGGTGATAGGAATTACTGGAATAAGGGCACTCTTTGGAACAGGAGCCTTAAGAAAATGAGGTAGAGAAGAAAAGAGTTAAGTTTAACATTACCTTTTAATTATCTAGATTGAATATACTTCCTGTTAACATAATTAAAAAACAAATCAAAGTTACAGGCCTAACAAAAAGTGAGTTACTAGACCTGCTTCTTAGTTACATATGAAATGTAATTTATGCCAAAGTCCAAGACAATCAAGGTAGAATTTTAGAAATTTATTCACATCCATGATAAACTGGAAAGGGAATTGGATAAAGGAAAATATTACAAGAATGTCAATCTCAGAAATTCTTTCATGACTGTAACAGAGTTCAGATTTCAGTTCAGATAACTTTAAGTACTATGATGATCTATATTTCAGGAAAGAAATAAAAAGTAGTTATTATAAAAGAAAAAAAATTTTGACTGGAAAATCAACAACTTCCAAACTATAACAGCAAGACTGTAAAACTGAAAATAACTTTCCTATGAAATTTAATCATTTGTAGCTTTTTTGGGATGATTTTTAATGTGTTTTGTTCAAAAGATGATACAATGCATTTTTCTTCTTTTCCAAAGCCTGTATCTAATTTTTTAAAATTAAAATGTTTTCATTATCACAGCATTACTTCTCAAAAGAAACATAATTACATAATTATAGGATATTATTTGGTATACTGATAAGATACTCAAAATAAAATATGAAACAAGCATTATGGAGTTATCTGCCAAAGTTTTGCCACAGTATGTTAGAAGTTCATCTTACACACTGGCCTGCTATCTCCTAAAGAAAGGGAACTAATCCATCCTTCAAATAGGAAAGTTTCTTTGAAAAATCTCTTTCAGGGCAGCTAAAGGAGACAAAGATTAACAGGACCTCTAGTAAATTATCACTAGTTTCATTCAATGGACAACTTTGTTATCTGATTCAGAACTCAGCATTGAGTCTATTTTTCTCAAGTTTTACTCTCACTTACCGTTAAAATTAATAGGGATAACAACAACAGAACAATACAATAAGAATACTTGTAACTCACAGAAAATTTGTGAGAAAAAAGTCAAGGAGTACAGGGGATGTAACTGTGGTAAAGCATTTGCCTGGCTAGCACAAGGATCGGAGTTCAATCACCAGTACTATTTAAAAAAAAAGTAGGCCACAGGGAAACTGTCCTCTGAAGCACACCTCTTGGTGCTGGGTTAATATTGGGCCCTCATCTGCAAGGTGGGACACAGAAACCAACCTTGTGATTTGTTTTTATTCTGTGGTGCTCAGGTTCAAATCCAGGGCATTGCACATGCTAGACAAGTGCTCTACCAGCCTACCTCATAGTTTTGAGGATGAAATGAGGGGACATCTAGCACTGTGCCTGGCCTGTAATGGGATGGATGCTCAGTAAAAAGCAGCTCCAATTTTAACTTTTTATTTTCCCTGTTACATATTTTTTTCTTAAATAATGTTGTCTTTTCACATTTTTTTCCGAGTCTCACTTATTGACTTCTACATATGGTGTCTAACTCATCTTTCCTTTTTTTTCCCCCATTATACTCTTAAGCTTCTCATATTTATTCCTTTTTACTTCCATCTCCTTTTTCACTTCCCTCTTCCACTCTCAGCATCCACTACCAAAGGAAAGAACATGGAAAAGTTTACATGTTCTGTTTTTCAAGAAAATTTATAAAACTAAAATATGTTTGCTAGGTGTGGTGGCACATGCCTATAATCCCAGCAGATTGGGAGGCTGAGGTAGGTGGATCGCAAGTTCAAAGTCAGCCTCAGCAACTTAGTGAGACCCTAAGCAACGTAGCAAGATACTGTCTTAAAATAAAATATTAAGGGCTAGTGATGTAACCCAATGGTTAAGCATCCCTCGGTTCACTCCCTGGTACCAGAGGGAAAAAAAGAAGGTTCAACTCCTTTATCTTTGAGCCATATTCTACCATGCAGATCTTTGATTCACTTTAAATAATTTCCAAAATGATTTTTTGAGAAAAAGGCTAGCCATATCCATAGATCTATTATCTTGGCCTATTTTATTCTGATTATGTGTCCTGATTATATCCCCTTCAGCTTTCTTAAGTGGTGACAACTCTACATCCATCTTGGCTAGTGGCTAAATCACAATCAGTGTCACAGATCAAGTACTGGTGGAAAATAAAACTTTAACACACACTCCAAATTTACAAGACTTTAAATTTATAATATAACCTGGAGTTAGTTAAACTACAAATTTCAAGTACACAGAGTAATCTGCAAGGTAAGACCACTTATAAGACTTTTAGAAGATGAATGATAGAATTATTTTGCAAATTTACCAACAGAAAACTATAAAGCTAACACTCAATGTAGTTCTTACATTTCTTTTGTTTGTCTCTTTCCTCAAACCAAAATAAAAATACGGAAAAACACACACCTAATTTCTTAACATTCACTCTTCCTCCTATTGGAATTAAGCCTTACATACCCGGATGCTTTGCCAAAACATAGCGTTAAAGAACACTCTTCCTTTATTTCCTAACGTTTATTTAATCAAAAATCAATATATGTACAACAGACCATATACATATTTCATATTTCATACAGAAAAAGATTATCCCCACAAATACTGGAAACAAGCTATATGTTGGTAGAGAAACATTTGGTGTAAAAAACAGAAGAGATTTTCAGGACTTTGATCCATAACATAAGCAGAACAGAAAAATATTTTTATTCCTTACACTTCTATCTGCATTGTATAAAAATGCATTTTTTTTTACCAAATTATAAACACTAGGCTTATTTTTTCTTAATTTTTGCTAAGCTTCATAGATTAAAAAAGATCTCATTCCTTTAATTTATACATTGTTAGGCATAAGTTATGGTAAAATTTTTAAACAATTATCAGTCAGTTGCCTACTCTGTATCACAAATGGTGATTCACACTGCATTAGCTAACACCATGTCACTAATACAATATGAACAAAAGTGAAAACAGTGAGAATCCTTACCTCATTCCTAATTTTAGTAGGGATGTTTCTAATGTTACCTATTAAATATTGTTTGTGTATATTTTAAGAAAGTATTCCTTAATTTTTCTGTTCTTGAGCATTCTTTTTACTGTTGGTACTGAGGCTTGAACCCAGGGCTTCATGCATGCTAGGCAAATGCTCCACACTAAGCAACAGCCTCCCAGCTCCTTTGAGAACTTTTAACATAAATGGGTGTTAAATTTTCCAGAAAATTATTTAGCATAAATCATATAACTTTTTAATCTAGGAAAATTTTAAAGCAAGTATAATCAAATAATCTACAAGGCTATTAAAATGTCTAGCCTTTAAGCAATATGACATCCATGTGAAATTTTCCCAACATGAACAAGCTATAAAAAGCCACTGGCAAGGTAACAGAATGTTCCATACCTATAAATCAATTAACAGTAGAGAACAGAGGCTGAGTTGTAGCTCAGTGATAGGGTACTTGCCTAGCACATGTGAGTCACTGGGTTCAACTCTCAGCATCACATAAAAATAAAGAAAATAAAGGTATTGTGCCTATTTATAACAGGTACCAAAACCAATTATTTTAGATTTAGTATAGTTGATCTTTTATACTTCTTTCCTGATATGAATGGTATCAACCACTAAAGGTACATATTGATTTTTGCTCTATGAGCTATAAAATGAGCTGTACACAATAGTGATACAAAGGGCCCACTACATTCTAGAATTCAAAACTACATAACATACACATATGTGTATTTAAATGTACATATAAATAAAAGAAAGTAACATAACAAAAGTAATATTTATTCTAGAGTATTGATCATAATCAAAATTAAATAATTTAAAATTCATTATCAACTATTGGCGGGTGGGGCACACCTGAAATCCCAGTGGTTTGGAAGACTGAGGCAAGAAGATCACAAGTTCAAGGACAGCCTCAGTCTCAAAATTAAAAAAAAAAGGAATGGGGTACCTGGAGATGAGGCTCAGTGGTTAAGTGCCCTGAGTTCAATCCTCGGTAGCCCACCCACAAAAAAACCCAACATTGTTTTTAAAAACTTAACAATATTACCTAAATGCTAACTTTAATGTTAACAAGGAAAATGGTTTTATAAAGATTGATATTTACATTTTAAAACAAGTAACATTTATCAAACACTTAATATGTGCCAGGCACTGTTCCAAGCATTTTATACACATTATTTGCTTTTATAAAAGCTCTGTAAAATGCTTCTACTACCATCCACATCTAAACATTTTTTTTAAAAATTAGGCTCTGAGAAGGTAACATGGAGTCATGGAATTGGGGCTGAACTTAAGGTTCTATCAAACTATAGATAACCACAAATACTGAAAACAGTCATCTATATTCTATGAAACTATATGTTATTTTTCACTTTTACCTTCTTAAATTTGCCAAATTCTCTTAAGGGTACCTTCCTATCCTGTGATAATCATAAATTCTCTAATGAATCTTTACTAACCTTAGATAATTAATAAAAATATTTTCCAAGGTAGTGTAAATATTTATTTTTTTCTTGACAAATTTCCCATTTCCCTTAAAGATGACCTCATTTCCACCGACAAGTTATAAGCAAGAAAAAAGGAAAATCAGTACTGTGATAAGTAAGTTGTTCTGACTCAAGTCTGAAAGTTATCCTTAAAAAAAAAAAATTATCTTAAGACATGACACCAAAAGTCATTCCCATTACTGAGCATCACCCAAAGTAGTTTGCATACACACACAAACACACACACGCACACATACACACACACCTCACATCCCACAATTTAACTCTGTGAAAGACACTAAGAAAATGGAAAGACAAGTGAGAATGGGAGAAAATATATGCAATTCACCCAGCAAAGGACTTTTATCCAGACTATATAAACTTAGTGATAAGAAAACAGGTACATGAATTTTAAAATGGGCAAAAGATTTGAACAGACACTTCACCAAACAGAATATACAGATGGGGGGAAAATGAAAAAAATATTCCCTAGGGTAACACAAAATCACAAAGAGATGTTCTTCAACACAAGGTTTCA